AACAAAAAACACCCTCTAACACTAGCGTTCCCTATTTTTTTCTATTCGATCTACTTGCTTTCTTTTTATTTATTATTAAAACAACCTTGCTATGTGTACCGCGTGTATGGCTAACTGAGACTTGTCACACCACTTACATATTATTGCCCTTTTGTTGGTTTTGATTGCTTCTATTGTCCTCATTTGTAAGTCGCTTTGGATAAAAGTGTCTGCTAAATGACTAAATGTAAATAATCTGATATAACTTATTGAGGCCCCCTAGTGGGCCCTGACCCCTTGGTTGAGTACCACTGCACATCTCGAAAATAAACTCTCATCACACTTTCAGTATGGTGTTCCATTCACAAACTTTGGCAAGCGCTTGTTTATTTACATCCTCACTATGCTACATATGTACGTCTGTAGTTATGATCTCTCTAGCTGAACAGTGAAACAAGATGAGAAAGCAAACATATGTTTATACAAAATACATAGTGAATCATTAAAACCTACTTGTTCAGATGTCTGCTGGCAGTACTTCTATGAACAAACCAAGGAATAACACGGACACTATAACCAAAACCTGGTTATAATGAAGATTTCAAAGCCCAGCAGAACTCTAGTACTGAATACTTCAATACTTGGGTGGCATTTAATTTAAGCCATACCAGTAAAGTGTTGATTTTTAGCACCCAAACTGTTGGATATTTTCCCTTACAGAAGCACTGGAGGGCAGCGTGATCCACACCATGACTAAAAGCAAGAGAGATGGTAATATTGAACACTTGACCCCATGATGGTCAGGTTAAGCACATTTGGTGGCTTAAAGAGTTAGAGAAGAGGTTACTTTACATATGAGAAAGTCGCTAATAGCCACACAGGTAGATGTTATACTTCAAGTTTATAATGTTCAAAATGGCTGAATATATATGTAGTACCCATAAGATTCAATGGGAGGTGCTGTTGTTGCCCAACAGGCTCTGTAAAAAGCATTGGTGTGCTTCTCTTATCCACATATTAAATTGCAAAGTCTTTTTAAAAGACAAAAAATAAAACTTAAAATAGCCCCTGCTGTACATGTTTGTACTGTATGTAGAGGCTGTGACCCAGACACAGAGGGTCACTAACTAAAGGTACTCAGTGCTTTTCGTATTAAGTCCCAAGCAGTCAGAAGGTTTCTCATGAAAGTATAAAAATGTGTCCATGCAGCATGCATAGGTCGTGACAACATCCAGGTCACCAGAACTCCTCTTTCCTCATGAGAAGATGCGTGAGACTCACAGACAAACTGCAAGAACTCACAATAATTGATCTGGACAAACCATCCTTCAGCTGACAGTGAAGAAGGAGCAGAGGGTTAACGATCAAAACCCAAAGCCACTGAGAAGTCAGGACTATGCTGCAATGATGAAACCAATCTGTAATTGCAGATGGCAGTATCCACATTCCAAAACATTTATTCCCTAGTTCATCATTTCTCTACTTTTTTGTTAAGGTGATGTATAATTAGCATGGAAAGCGTTCAGCGCGCTCAGTTATGTTCCATGATTTAGTGCAAAGACTCTGTGAGTCATAAAGCAATTTTAAAAAGCACTGTTTTCACAGCTATGGAGAAATGGAAATTTAAAATGTGTATTCTTTAAAAATGCATCCTTCATCTTTTAAAAAGTCCTTCATCATGTCAAAGTCTGTACACTCTCTTTTTAAAAGTAAATTAGACCTTTGGTAAAACATCAAATGACACTAATGCTTTAAAATCATTCGAAACAGTGACATTAGTGAGAAACACACAGTATGTTATTTTAAACAAATATTGAAATGGAAAAAAAAAATAATAATAATGCAGGATTCAAAGGAACTTCTCCAAGAAGATGGTAATGTCATGTGCACAAAAAAAGTTTTGGTGAAGCATAAAGAAGTGTCTCTGAAAAGATGAGATTTTACAGAATATTCACTTTTATCTAGTTGACTGCTGATCTGAATAATCCGCTCTGGTTTGACATAACACGTCACCACATCCGGGTCCAAATGCTCCTTCAGATCCCAAAAACAAACTACAAACAGTGCTAATATACACTTACGGTGTGCTATAGTACTACTGAAAAATCAAGATCCTAACCTTTAACTTCATACTGAAATCTTAGTTGGCCAGACAGAGATTCATCTTTTCTGACTGGGACGCTGTGAGCCCGGAGACTAGTGTACACGGGAAGCTTAGCTTAAAGGGGTACCATTAATGTACAGTGCTCATAAACGGCAGTTGAGATTGTATTCTTACTTCAAATGAAGTAAAGGCTTGGACCCAGAAACAGTATTTGATATGTCACAAGCGGATTATATTTCTGAATAACTTGTCACCATGCTGGTATGGCCCATTTTCGTCATATATGTGACCCTGGACCACAAAACCAGTCAAGTTTTGAAATTTTCTTTTTCAAAACTGAGATTTATACATCATCTGAGCTTTCCATTGATGTATGGTTTGTTAGGATAGGACAATATTTGGTCTAGATACAACTATTTGAAAATCTGCAATCTGAGGGTGCAAAAAAATCTGAAAATCGCCTTTAAAGTCCTTAGCAATGCATATTACTAATGAGAATACATTTTTTATATATTTATGGTAGGAAATTTACAAAATATCTTCATGGAACATGATCTTTACTAAATATCCTAATGATTTTTGGCATGAAAGAAAAATCGATAATTTTGACCCATACAATGTATTTTTGGCTATTGCTACAAATTTACCCCAGCGACTTAAGACTGGTTTTGTGCTCCAGGGTCACATATGTGAAAGCTTCTCAAAAACCGTGACCTATCAAATTCCTTCAAAGTGAACTAATGGCTATGTCAGTAGTGTCCTACAAAGGCAAAACACAGCAACTACACATAATTCAATCAAAAAAAGTGTGAAAATTGATCAAAACTTTAAAAAAATCAAAAACTCTATAGTCACATTCTCTCTCGAGTGTAGTTACTGTTTTGTCTTTATATGGCAGAATAGCTTTTAAATACTTGATTAAAACAACCTCCTTCTATCTTTCAATGTTTATATACACTATTGCAGCTAAATGTCATTATTGTGGCAGGGACAGACAGCAGAGAGCGACATACCCTGTAAGCCACCAGTTCAGTTAATACTGAATGATTCTCCTCTTTAAGCTGCCTGCCTCAAAGTACTTCATTAATACACTTCTAAATAAAAGTGTTAATAATGGAGATAATTATTGTATCTCCACTGATTCCCAACACTGACGCATTCAAAATGACCTTTTTGATCAATACCCAAGAAAAAAACTGGTACAAATATGGACTAAATTAGAGACATCATCAATACCTGAGTCAAAACACACGTTAATCACAGGGAAAATGTGTGTGAATACCAGGAATTGATGACTGACCGTAAGGAAAGCTGAATCACAACTGAATCAACGTTGGATCCACATTCTAGGGGACTGAGCCGGCTCTGAAGTCATCAAGTTCAAAATGCTGGTGGATGTGATTGGTATTAAAAACCAGAAATCCAAATTGCATTGTGAGATGATTTCATCCAGGAATGGAAGACACATACTATACAATGGGGCTGCAGGGGCTGTTGGAGTAACAGGGTGTGATTGGTCCATTATGGTGGATTGTAGGTCACAGTGACAACAATGACTGGACACGCACACAAACCCTCATACACTGCAGAAAATAATGCAGGGACCTCCATGTGTTGTCTGTGTTGTCACAAATGAGCCATGTTTTCTGAATGTGGTCGGTTTGAGTTCTAGGTGTTCCTCAAGGCCAAGGCCTGCTCCAGCTCCTGCCTCCTCTGCTGAATCTTTGGAAGCAGAAAGTCAGACATAGAGTCAGTCAGTTTTTGTCCAGTGCAGTTCAGACATTGACAAAGTGCAGCCCGTTATAACACTCTGTTTTATAGTAAGACCAGGAGAAGGTTCACACTAGTCGTGGTATATTTTTATATTCTTACCTTGCAGTAGAAGTAACGGCTAACAGCCTCCTGAGACCAAGGCTGATGATAAAACTCTGCTCTCCTCTCTTCCTCTGGGTTCCCAACAACATCTGTCATCAGCTACAAACAATCAAAATGTGATATCAGTTAGAAATGCAGGACAACATCAGGACAAACATGTTGCAGGAGATTAAGGGGCATGCTCGCAGAGAAAGAAATCGCATGAAGTTTTTCAAAGACATCTCTAATGCTCTTTATCAATAGTAATACTGAAAAATATTACTATAATAAATATTATAATATACAATTAAAATAATTATTTTGATTGTTTTCTATTTTAATACATTTTAAAATGTAATTTATTCCTGTGATGCAATGCTGAATTTTCTCTTATGCTCACCAAGGCTGTATTTATTTGATGATAAAAAAAAACAGTAATATGGTAAAATATTATTACAATTTAAATGAACTGTTTTCCATTTAAATATATTTTAATTTATTAATTAGTTTTAATGTGTTCCTGCGACGGCAAAGCTGAAGTTTACCCCAGTCTTCAGTGTCACATGATCCTTCAGAAATCATTCTAATATGCTGATTTGGCACTCATTAAATATTTCTTATTATTATCAGTGTTGAAAACAGTTGTGCTGCCTAATATTTTTTTTCGTGGAAACCATGATACTGTTTTTTCAGGATTCTGTAATGTATAAAAAATTTGTTAAAAATCTTTTGTAATATGTAATAAAAGTCTTTATTCTCACTTTAAATTAACTTAATGCATCCTTGCTAAAGTATTCATTTCTTTAAAAAAAAAATCTTCAGCCCAAAATGAATGATCTTCACCCATGATGTTTAATGGTACTGTATGGGAGCTGTTGGAAGCTTCAAATTGTACTAGTGAAAACTATTGAATATGAAGTAAATACCTTGTTGAAGCTTATATAAATCTGGTTCAAAGTGTGTAATTTCTGTACCTTTAACAGCAGCAACAGAACAGCAAAATTAATTTCCAAACAGTTTACCAAACACTCTGCCCCTTCTGACCTGTTCTAATGTATGTGATTGGTATTCAAAACCAGAAATCCAAATAGTGCATTGTGAGATGATTTCATCCAGGAATGGCTGAATTGGTTGAAATGCACATACTATACAATGGGGCTGCAGGAGTAACAGGGTGTGATTGGTCCATTATGGTGGATTGTAGGTCACAGTGACAACAATGACTGGACACGCACACAAACCCTCATACACTGCAGAAAATAATGCAGGGACCTCCATGTGTTGTCTGTGTTGTCACAAATGAGCCATGTTTTCTGAATGTGGTCGGTGTGAGTTCTAGGTGTTCCTCAAGGCCAAGGCCTGCTCCAGCTCCTGCCTCCTCTGCTGAATCTTTGGAAGCAGAAAGTCAGACATAGAGTCAGTCAGTTTTTGTCAAGTGCAGTTCAGACATTGACAAAGTGCAGCCTGTTATAACACTCTGTTTTATAGTAAGACCAGGAGAAGGTTCACACTAGTCGTGGTATATTTTTATATTCTTACCTTGCAGTAGAAGTAACGGCTAACAGCCTCCTGAGACCAAGGCTGATGATAAAACTCTGCTCTCCTCTCTTCCTCTGGGTTCCCAACAACATCTGTCATCAGCTACAAACAATCAAAATGTGATATCAGTTAGAAATGCAGGACAACATCAGGACAAACATGTTGCAGGAGATTAAGGGGCATGCTCGCAGAGAAAGAAATCGCATGAAGTTTTTCAAAGACATCTCTAATGCTCTTTATCAATAGTAATACTGAAAAATATTACTATAATAAATATTATAATATACAATTAAAATAATTATTTTGATTGTTTTCTATTTTAATACATTTTAAAATGTAATTTATTCCTGTGATGCAATGCTGAATTTTCTCTTATGCTCACCAAGGCTGTATTTATTTGATGATAAAAAAAAAACAGTAATATGGTAAAATATTATTACAATTTAAATGAACTGTTTTCCATTTAAATATATTTTAATTTATTAATTAGTTTTAATGTGTTCCTGCGACGGCAAAGCTGAAGTGTACCCCAGTCTTCAGTGTCACATGATCCTTCAGAAATCATTCTAATATGCTGATTTGGCACTCATTAAATATTTCTTATTATTATCAGTGTTGAAAACAGTTGTGCTGCCTAATATTTTTTTTCGTGGAAACCATGATACTGTTTTTTCAGGATTCTGTAATGTATAAAAAATTTGTTAAAAATCTTTTGTAATATGTAATAAAAGTCTTTATTCTCACTTTAAATTAACTTAATGCATCCTTGCTAAAGTATTCATTTCTTTAAAAAAAAAATCTTCAGCCCAAAATGAATGATCTTCACCCATGATGTTTAATGGTACTGTATGGGAGCTGTTGGAAGCTTCAAATTGTACTAGTGAAAACTATTGAATATGAAGTAAATACCTTGTTGAAGCTTATATAAATCTGGTTCAAAGTGTGTAATTTCTGTACCTTTAACAGCAGCAACAGAACAGCAAAATTAATTTCCAAACAGTTTACCAAACACTCTGCCCCTTCTGACCTGTTCTAAAAAGGTAGTCCTGCCCTAAATTCATGCCATTGGTTGAGCCAGAAGTTGACATATCGGACCACTCAAACAAACTGAGCAATGTTTTGAAACCGGCACAGAGCCAATGTATTTACACTTTTTGGGACCTCATCCTAAAACTGGCTTACATGTATCTGTCTCAGCACATTGAACTGAAATATGAGAAAGTACTATAACAGAAAACACACTTCATCTTCAAAAATATTATAAATATAAAAATGATATAAATATCAAGAGTCATGTGTAGAATGAAAGAAAGAATGAAAGTTGTTGCAGACCTTCAGATCTCTGCTCTGGGATTTGAGCCAGTCCTGGATGTAGCTTTTGGGATCTCTGGAGAAGCTGAGCATGAAATCTCTCTGGATCTTCAGCTGATTGATGGACTCAATAGTCTCATGGATCTGCAAGCATTTAGAACCAAAGTGAAAAATCAAGGGTGTATTCACAGACATGATGGCACTGCAGAAGTTGTTAAATCTTGATTATTATCCTGCTGTCAGGTTAACTGTAATAATATGAGTTGAAATCAAAGACCCTATAATTCAGAACAAAATGTCTAGAAGTTCACTCATCTGCTCCGCTGTGCCTACACTGATGTGGGAGACTTGCACTAACCTTGTTGTCCAAAGAGGCAATCTCTTGCTGATTGGCTGTGGAGAGCAAGAAGCTGCTCATTTGTGCTTTAAGAGGATCTTCCACCTCTACATCAATGTCATAGCACGCCGTCTTTTTCTGATCATTAGGGTCGACGCTGAACAAAAATAACCTCAATTTGAATTCATGTTTTGTATTCTTCATAAAATTAGTAAGAGCAGATAGAGAAGACAAAGTAAAAGGCACAACGACTGAACCAAAATACTCCTGTTTTGGATTATATACATATATACACAGAGATGTGATGAGGTTGAATTAAAATGATGATGCAAAATAAAATAAATACTGTTAAAGATGTTGGAGTCATGTTTTTGAAACAAGTCTCTAATGCTGACAAACATGCAAAAAATAAGAAATCAGGAAGGGGGCCAACACTTTTTCACACCACTGTATATATATATATATATTGTGAAATATTATTAATATGAAAACAACTGTTTATTATTTGAATATATTTTAAAATGTCATTTATTCCAGTGATGTCAATGCTGAATTTTTTAGCAGTCATTACTCTAGTCTTCAGTGTCACATGAACCTTCAGAAATAATTCTAATATGCTGATTTGATGCTCAAGAAACTTTATTACTGAAAACAGTTGTGCTGCTTAATAGTTTTGCAGAGACTGTACATTTTTATTTTTCAGGATTCTGATGAGTAGAAATTTACAAATAACTGTTTATTTGAAATAGAAATCTTTTTTGAGATTAAAGATGTCTTAATGTTTTGATTAATTTAATGTGTCCTTACTGAATAAAAGATTAATTTCTTTTTAAAAACTTACTGACCCCAAACCTTTGACCAGAAGTATAAAAGATTAAGAACACTGTATTTTGGTAAATGTCGACAAATGACACGTTTGTACAGACAAGCAAAACACATAATCAGACATCCAAACCTAATGATGTGATTGATGACAATAGGGTCGGGGGGAAGTAAAAGGTTGGTGAGGCGCTGTGGAATTTCGGAGAACTTCAGACGTGGACAGTCAAAGATCTGTGAGAGGAGATGAGGCCAGAAACAAAAAGTTCTTGATTAAAATACAGTATACTGGCTTTAGATAATAATTCCAACATGTTTCTACGAACTTCGGCAATGTTATTTTAAATATCAAACACATTATAGGGGTTTATGTGAGGCTGATTCATTCATTAATTATAGATTGTGATGAATGTTAATCAATGTTTACAATCAAGTGTACCTGTTGGAAGTACTTGTCACAGTTGATGAACTCCTTGTCATGAGAGTCCTGCAGTTTGTTGGTTTTGACATACTGCCAGAGGGCCTGTATGATACTGGAGCGAGTCTGTGTGTGTATTCCCAGCAGACGAGCCAGACGCGGATCCAGTTTAAACTGAGGCGGCTGCACACAGAACACAAGACTCTCAGATAAATAATGCTTTTCAGTCACTGTTCAGTGTGTTCCGCATTCATTTCAGAGTACTGACACATGCTTACATTTAATTAACTATTAATAATTGAATACATGATTAAGTTTAATTAACTTCTAATCTAAAAAAGTAGGCACAGTAGAAGAATATTTATCTATTTTGACTGTGATAAAATAAAACATCACAAAATTATTACTAAGTAGACCTGCTACTCACAGAGTTCCTGTTCTATTCACTATTATGTTACGTTTCATCAACTTATTACTTCAATGAAACCCAAGGCTTCAAGGTCTGAAAGAAATTTATAATCAAAAAGAAAATCACACAAGCCCAAGGAAAAATGTTCCAAAATTTGACATGACAATTATACAATTGCATTTTGCACCATGGTGCAGTTCTTGATCAGTAGTCTTCAGTTAATATATAAGTAAACATTACTAGATGCATTTTGTTGCCTTTACCTGGTAATCCAGCATTAGCAGCAGGGTGCAGCGCACGTTCACATCTCCAGGCCTCTTCACCTGGAAACCGTCTGTCTCCTGAGTGGTTGGGGTACGATGCCACTGCAGAAAAAAAAAAGAAAAAAAGAAATCAACATGCTTGCACACACTTACAAAGAAAAAAAAAAAAAGCTAAACACAGTTACTTCAGTAACTTAATAGAAAAATAACCTGAATGACAATATCACCACACATCTTACAGAACAAAGAGCTATATAGCATGTTTATATGAACTATACTGAAAAATACAGTGTATGCACGACATATATGCAGTTAAAATGCAAGATACTTATTGTGGTTTTAGTTCTTGGTTTTAAGAATTTCCATTATGAAAAAATGTGTTTCACTGTCATTTAGAGTGATAAGCAGGATATCAAACACCAACCTCAACCAAATGGTTATCAGGGCCGTAAAGGTCTTTGTCAAGCTCAATCACCAGACTCTTGAAGAATGAGGAGAACTTCCTCTTCATCTTTCCCGGCTGTGCAAGAAAGCAGGAATACTGTTTTCAGTGTGTGCCACTGAGCAAACTATCCAGTTTCAAGGATGAAGACATTGTTGGAAAACAAGAACTTTGCACCACATCATAAACTTTCCTGGTAGACTTTCCATGAAAGAGAACGGCTGAATTTCAAATGTGGCATACTGTGGCGGATGATTTGCTGAGCAGGACAACATTCCATTCAGCCCAGAGGCTGCATGAGTCCCTCAAGCTATCATCAATAAGTACTAGTTTTATTTCTTTGGGGATGGAAAAGCATGCCTCAAGTGTATTAGCAAAACTGATCTTGGTTAGAGACTGACCCAAGAGGCTGGATTTATGCTGCACTGCGTAAACTCTTAAGAATTCCGTCCCAATGATGCTTCAGCTGCAATCACATGAATCAAACCGGTACTTTAGCGGGTATTTCAGATCATAAACCAAAAGACGCTTTTAACAAAGTAAAAATAAATAACTAAATAAATAAATCTCTGATTGCACTGATGACAGCTATCTTCGGTTATTATTCTATTATCTTTACATAGGTAGTTAGAATCATTACATAGATATGAAGGTCAAAGTATTTTTTGGTACTTGTACAGGTACTAATAAACGCATGTTTTTTTGCATGTTTAGCCATGCTCCAGTGCACTTTGTGGCTAGAGATGAAGGGAACATGCTTGAGCAAAAACAAACGAGCAATGAGCCTCAGCTTTTAATAGTTAAGTTCTATTTAATCATACTGATGGAAACCACTAAATAAGATTTAAGGTCGATGTCAAACATAAAATATAATTATGAATTTAAATTAAATCCGTGTTGTCCAATTATTGATTTAAGTACAATTGACTCACATCATCCAGCAGTTTGCCCTCCACACGTAGCTCCCAGGATGCAATGCTACCTTCAGAGTCCTCTGCATCAGGCTTGGCAGGGTTAAATGTGTTGGAGATGTAGAGACGCAGTTTTCGCTTTTGCTTCAAATAGGAAAAAAATGAGTCAATTCTGAATATTTATCTCTATTCATTCCTCAAAATGCTATTAGTCCTGTGTGCGCACAAAAACACAGAGGCATTATGTTGGGAAAATGCTTTTAAGCTGACAAGTGGTAAAATATGAGAAGCTAAACGCAAGAATAATGACACCAGCCTCATTTGATGCTCATTTAAGTTGTTTGGTTTCTTATCCTGTTGATTTATGCAAGCAATATTTAAAATGGTTCAATAAGAGACGACTAGACTGCAGGTGAAAATGCTTGTTCCAAGGTTCCTTGTGCCTGCTTGAAATTGTCTGATATATTATCCACCTTATTTTTCAACACAGAAGTAAGCTGTTTTCTGTGAATGTGCGAGACTTCCGATTCATTAGCCACTATAGGGAAATAACGAGAATATCAAAGTGCAGTAAATTGTAAGACTATATGAGCTACAAATCAGTGTGTTTATAATTAAGACAATACATTAAAATAACATGGTAAAAAAATACCAGTTTGCAGTTTCAAGCAGCATAAGAAGCTGTTTTTTAACAGCTAAAAATAGCTGGAATCAAATGACACCGGAAGCGAGACACATTAAATAAAAAAATGGCCGTGGCCAATCTAATGTTAAAAATAAGGTGGATTGGTTAACAAAAGTAAAAGTGCAAACACATATATATTTTTAAAAGAGGGTAAATAAAACAGTCTGTCCTGGAAAATTAAATTAAAAGAACATATGGATCTTGAGGATGAGAAATACCTTCATGGGTCTCTTAAGTGCCTCTTGGATGTCCACCCGTTTGCGCATTATGGTCTGGTCTAATTTACGCTCGAATGCCAACAGATCCATATATGCCTGTGACTCCGGAACAAGCTCACGAATCTGAAGAAGGAATTCAGTAAAACTTTTTTTTTTGAAAATGGGAGCACTGGTAAACAAATTCAAACTATCCTAATTATTTTCCTTGTTCTGTGTACGATAGACAGAGTGTTTCGTCAATGACTAATGCGTCTGGCGTCTCTACTGGAGCTGCATCTATCTATAAGGCCTGATAAAACACACATAATGCTGCTTATCTTATCTAACACAACCAACTCATAGCAACACAGTGACTATAAAAAACTAAGAACAGAATCATTCATATAATATTTAAACCCTATTAAATGATTAAAAAAAAAAGATTTTCAACAATAGCCATCACCATGAACCCACAGCAGTAATGCGGTCTTATATTTTAGATTATTTATTATTTATTGTAATATTAGAATATCTCAGAATATGATATACAATTGGAAGCTGACCTTAACTAGAACAGATATTTTGTAGAAAAAAAATCTAGATACTCTTTGCAATATACAATATATTTCTAAAAATGACCTGCTGTCAGTATAGAGTATATCTGCATTGTCTAACTGAGGTGACAATTACTGAATGCAAAAGCCCCCCCAAACATTTCTGTCTACCGTATCGCTTGCTTGGTAGAGGTTTCCACCCCTCTAAAAGGCCGAGATAGAGAACAGACGCGCACACCCGTGCATCTTCATCCGTGCACATTTGCACACACAAAAAACCCCCGGCTAAACCAATGAAAGCAATGAAAAGGCTCAGATCTCTTACTCACCCTTTGTGGAAGGATCTTATCAGCCATCTTCCTCCTCTTGGCACTGCAGAAAGGGGAGAAAGGGGAAACGGAGAGGAAAGGCAGAAAAAACCCCAAGATATTACTATGGAGACTGACAGTGGAGCACCCGGGACATCTGCTAAAATTCTGGGGCTGGTCCAGGATGCGGGAAAGACGGTGTGGGAGTGTGTGTGTGTGTGTGTGTGCGACGCCAGCCCAGATGGTACTGGCAACCATTGGCACAGAGGACGTTACTAGAATCAGCTAGAATCATTACTACTCAAACTTCACAAGTTGAAGCTTGGAAAGCAGCAGAGATTCATAGGACCTGCTCATGATGTGCAGACAGGTGTGTCAATACGGCTGTGTTGTGCATACAAGTATATCTGTGCTCATATATGAATGCTCTTCTATTTCTTTGAGCACAACAAGTAGCATTATTTTGGTGCTTTTCCTTGTGCGTTTTTCTCCATTTCACATAAGATATGCGCAAAACTGCTAGTTGAGAGAGCTGTGTGTGGCATTACCTGTGAAAGCAAATAATCACTGGTCCTATTAACTAGACTGAAAAGAGTGCTGTGTGGCATGTGTTCATTCCCCATCATAAAAAAGAGCTTTGTACACTCAAAAGCAGGATCCATACAGGTGACCATCACCAAAACAAACACTGCGAGAAGATCAGGAAAACAATGACCAAATACAATTTTTGTTATTATTTCAGCACACTTTTCACCCACTTAATATATTTATCCAATCAACTAAAATGCACAAATCAGTCAGCCTGACTTATTAATACATGTTTAGTTATTTGTGAAAACATTTAGATTCGACACTTTACACTGAAGTGTAAAACAAGCTCTCACATACTGCCTTCATGCCATGCAACAGGACATGCAAGCGCATCCATGCTAAATCCAGGAAAATATTTAATAGCATTAAAACTTTAACCTCAATATATTAATATTATTATAATACCTTTGATTTTATAATGTCTTTGACTCAAATGACATGTTAGGTCTCAATACATGACTAACATCAGCTGATCTGTAACTCAATAAATGAAATCATTGCTGTATGAAGGAATAATCTTTGATAATAACCATTAAACATCAGTCAGAGGTGAAGGGGGGTAACCCTTATTAGGGATATGTCTTTGGAGGCAAGATGTGCTAGGGTAAGAGGGGGCAAGGGGTCAAGGCTTGGGACAAAGGTGGGATCAAAATGTGTGAATCCATCATGCAGCAGAATAAACTCCTACTTTGATCCGAGTGTGGGATCTGATTGGGCCTCTCTCATGTCCATCTGTCTCCCTGGCATCTTATTTGGTCCAGGAAATCCAGCAGGCTTCCTATGAGTTGATGGCATTCGAAGGGTCCTTCATTAGATGGTACTGAGTGTGTTTGTATGTGTTGCAAGAGCATGTGTTTGTATGCAAGTTTTGAACTGCTGAATATGTTGGGGACACATTACAAAAAGCTGAATACACAAAACAGACAACATGGGAGTTGTACAAGAAACAGCAGAAGTATAGGACAAAAGATCTGATATGCCAATGTGTGGTTATTACACAAACATATACACACACACACACACAACTAGTGCATTGATTAGTCTGATGTGAGACAGGAGGGTTCTAGACAATGCAAGATGATGTTACACTAATGTGTCAGACAAGGTCGACAGACAGAATGAGCAAGTATGTGAATCAATGGAGCTGATTCAGAGAGGATACAACAGAGGGAGAGAGAGAGACAGAGAGAGAGAGAGAGAGAGAAAGAGACAGAGATCCAGGAAAAATGAAGAAACAAGTATTATATACAACATTTCTCAGTGCGTGGCCCCTTTCTGTCACAACAGCACAGTCAGATGATTGGCCAGCAGACTGAAGACTCCACAGATCAGATTAACTGCAACTAAACAACAGCCACTGCGCAAACTAAGACATACTGTATGTCAGAGAGATTTGTGATAAAACACAACAGAGTGACCCCATTTAAAACAACTGGGAATTTTCAGAGATTTACAAGAAAGGAACTTGGGTCATATCTGATATACATAGCTGTGTATTAGATTGATATCTAATATACAGCTACTATATGTGGAGCAGAATTTTGGACCAGTAAGATTTCACTGTGGGCGGGGCTACCCAGCACTCCACTATTAAAATCTGCTTAAGTCAAGTCGTGACATACCAAATACTTTTTCCGGTGCGTAGGGGGAAAAAAAAGCTCATGAAATCTACATCAATACAGCCATAGAAACACAACGCATTTAGGCCACGCCCACACCGGAGGGGGAAAACAATCCAACCCTCTCCATTGACTTTGTATTGTGGGAAGCTGCCTCCTTGTCATTTCTGACTTATAACAAAATACAGAACAATGCCTAAAAGCGGCTGTGTGACAAGGTGTACAGTAAACAAGCAAAAAAACCCAGAACTACGTTTCTATAAGCTGTCAACCCCAAAAAACGATCGTTTAAGGACACAAAAGTAGAGCGCAATGTGTCATATTACTCTGAGAACTACGCCCACTGGAGGGAAACGTAATCGACGACAGGAAATATTCATTATTTTTAACCATGTCAAAGGATTATTTCACCACACTATGTGAACCTGAGAGGAGAAGATTTATTGAGAAACTAAATTTTATTGATCTATGTCAGTGCCCCTTAGCCTTACCTTCCTTTTTTTTGGAGAAATGATCCAACTGAATGGCCCAACGTGAAATACCCTGACATCTACAACTATTTGATCGAATCACCAGGTAACAGCATCATTTAATCTACCTAACAAAGATCAAATTCAAAACACATAGCTTAGATAGCCTCACCCCTTAACTTATGTAATAATAATCACAGCACATAGCCTCAGCTTCATAAAAGTTAGCAGGGGTGCAGTTGATTACTAAGTTAGCTATTAGAAAGCTTATATTAGCTATGTGTGTTAGCAAGCTGTAGCTTGGGCCAATTGGTATTCATCCACTTTGATATTTACTACTTAATATAAACTATTTGATAAAATTTTGATATTTAAAAGTATTTGTTTCTAATCAAATAATGAATGTTTCCTGTCACCGATTACGTTTCCCTCCAGTGGGCGTAGTTCTCTGATTAATATGACATGTTGCACTCTACTTTTGTGTGCTTAAACGCTCGTTTTTTGGGGCCGATAGCTTAAAAAAAACATAGTTCTGGGTTTTTTAGCTTGTTTACTGTACACATTGTCACATAGCAGTTTTTAGACATTGTTCTGTTTTTTTGTCATAGGTCAGAAATGACAAGGAGGCAGCTTCCCACAATGCAAAGTCAATGGAGAGGGTTAGACTGTTTTCACCCCCGGTGGGCGTGGTTTTCAGATTATGACGTGTCGCTCTGTCTCTATAACCATTTTATTGTTAACAGCTGTTTGCCAAAATATTGCAATTGCAAATTCTTTTGCTTCCTATTAAAATGCATGTAATCAAATCTTGTGTCAGTCAGGATCAGGCCACTCTGTTGAAACAGTTCTTGTAAGAGGAAGAACCGCATCTTCCCATCCAACCAAAGCAACAGAGACAATTTACATGCTCATCAATCAAAACCCATTCAGCTCTGACTGTATTGAACACTTCAGTTCCAGTGTTTCTGTACTATGGATTATATTATCTATGCAGCACCCAGGGGTTCATACAAGATTGGTGTCTAGTATGAAAGAGCTTCCTAACACACCATAAATGTGACCCTGGACCACAAAACCAGTCATTAGGGTCAATTTTTACGAAATTGAGATTTATACATCATATGAAAGCTGAATAAATCAGCTTTACATTGATGTATGGTTTATTAGGATCTGACAATATTTGGCCGAGATACAACTATTTGAATATCTAGAATCTGAGGGTGCAAAAAAAATACAAATATTGAGAAAATCGCCTTTAAAGTTGTCCAAATGAAGTTCTTAGCAATGCATATTACTAATCAAAAATTAAGTTTTAATATATTTAAAGTAGGAAATGTACAAAATATCTTCATGGAACATAATCTTTACTTAATATCCTAATGATTTTTGGCATAAAAGAAAAATCTATAATTTTGACCCATACAATGTATTTTTGGCTATTGCTACAAATATACCCCAGCGACTTAAGACTGGTTTTGTGGTCCAGGGTAACAAATGTCTTTTTTCCACGCTATTCTTGACACTAGTTTAAAGTGATAGTTTACCCAAAAATGAACATTCTGTCATTTACTCACTCTCATGTCAGTCTAAACCTGTATGACTTACTTCTGTGAAATATCAAAAGACAAGATTTAGAGAAAAACCTCAGTGTTTTTTGTCCATACAATGCAAATCAATGGTCATCAAAACTGTTAGGTTACCAACAGCCTTCAAAATATCTTCTTTTGTGTTTCATAGAAGAAAGAAAGTCATGCAAGTTTGGAACAACATAAGTAAATGATGACAGAACATTTTGGCGAGCTATTCCTTAAAGTAACCTTTCACATCTGTAAAGTTAAAAAGTGGTTAGTGCCACTTTTAAGTTTTAACCCAGGATTACTGCTCCAAAGCATAATCCAGAATAGGGATGCAGCGATTAACCGGTTTCACAATTAACCGCGCTTTAAAATGTCACGGTTAATTAATCGTAAAGGCTCCGCTACACCGAGTGTTTCTGTTGCACAGAACGGAACTGTTGCAACTTGCGCAAAATGAAAACAAAGTTACACTAGCGGTGCACCACTTTAAAATGCCGTGCTTATCAGAGACACGGAGGCTAGGCCTACTACACACACTAGATGAACTATGACAGAGGAACCAAACAGCGATCCTTTATTTCCACCAGAGAAATGCCTGAAGACGATCTGTGGGACCATTTTGGGTACACAAAGAATGACCAGGGTGTCATTTAAATATTGCCGTAAAAACTGCTGCTAAAGAGCGAATACACGGCTTTAAATGATTTTAATGCACTATGTGAAGGCAAGACTGACGCGAAGCTACGGCTCGTTAGCTCAGTATTCTGCCCACTTCAGATCAGACAGATGAAATAGTGTGGTAAGATCACATTTATTTGAATTAATTAATTATAACATTTAGCTACTTGAATTAATTATTCGATCGAGAGAGAGAGCGAGAG